GTAGTCAGACAGGTACAAGTAAGACAGACTGAGAGATCTTGCAGGTGTACAGTATGAATAGGGACCTGCCTGGGTTCACAGTCCAGAAAGGACAAGGCAGGCACAGGGCTACATTACATCTATGGAGGCCAGCTCCCCACCTATGCTCCTTCCATGGTCGCTTGTCCTTTTCCATCAGCCTTTCTGCAATAAGTACAATAAGTGAATGAATGGCAGGAAGAGGGCAAGTAATCCATCTGTGGAACTACTTTATAAAAATATCCATTCTCTATCCATGGCTGAGGGGAGAGGTAAGAAACTTAGAACATCTTTTGGGAAAGCAATTTTGCAAAATATAGCAGTCTTAAAAATGCTTTATGTAACCAGATTCATTACCCAGTACTAAATTTTAAAAAAGAGAAAAACCAGTATGAGATGAAAATTAAGTGAAAAGGGACTCATGGGTATGAGGCAAAATGATCTTGCTGCTATTAGCACCAGGACAGCAGGGCTTTGCTCAGGGCTTTGGTCCCTTCTAGATGAGCACCTGGCTTTCAACACACACACAACAGATGTTTGTTGAATGAATGAACAAACAAAAGGATTGACTAAGCTGTTTATGGGATAGACTAGGAAAAACAACAAACTGCAGTATAATTATGTTTGAATTTCTGATGGGATTATGGGAAATTTTCTTACTTTTGTAAGTCTTTAAAATTTTATTACAATGAATGAACATTTATTTTTTCCTGATTATAAAGGTAGCTTTAGAAATAATTCAATGTACTTGGTACTTAGTAACATAAAATGAATACTTCACTAAAAAGATACAAGTAAATCCATGAAAGATGGTTAATGCCATTAGTCCTTAGAGAAATGCACCTTAAAATGACTGTAGAGAGCACTACATACCTATTAGAATGGAGAGGAGTGGGAGGCAGGAGGAAATTTCTGGGAGTGATGGACATGTTTACCATTTTGATTGCAGTGATAATTTCACAGTTGTGTATTTATGTCAAGTTTATCAAATTATACACTTTAAACATGGTATGCCTATTCTATCTCAACAAAACTGTTCAAATATTAAAAATGGTGATGCCTGAAGAAAGCAGCTAGTTCAGCTTACAACTCAACCACACATTGCTTTTCCTTAAGATAACCATGAACCATCTTCCATTTCATCACACAGAAGATTGAACAGATATGTTCTTATAGATTGTTTTAATGGACTTAATCTTTACTGTTTCATTAAGGAAAATCTTAGGTAAAATTAGTATGCTTCTTATATTGCATGGGTATGGTGGTGAGGGATTCAATAATAATTGAATGGTTTTATGTCATAGTCTTGATTCCTGCTAAGCTCTAGCAATTTTACCCACCACTGCTTTTTATCATCAATGCAAATAATGGGGCAAAATAAATATATCTTTGTACTATTATGAGAACAGTTTTGGTGTTGTGGATCCCCTGAAAGGGTCTCATGGCCCCCAAGTGTCTGTGGACCACACTTTGAGAACCTCTAGACAAAACACTGTAGAAAGAAATTAGTCAAGTCATAAATAAGTGTTGAGAACAACCCCCCAAATGTGGTTTTGTATAGCAACTTATCATACAATTTCTCATGGGTTACCTCATTTGTTCCTTATAATACTTTTTAGATTGTAAGTAATACTGTATATTTTTTCACACACACAAGAAAACAGCCTTTGAGCTCACTGAAATACTCTGCTTACAGTCTTAGCTAAGAAGCAATGGAGTTGCATTCAAAACTAGATTTTCTGACTCTAATTGCAGAATGTTCCCCACAATACCATATTTCTTTTCTGCCTTGCCATGAAATAATTATCTGCTCTTCTTTTTCCTCCTCAATATGTGTGTAGCCTGCCATCTATTTATCCTCACCCCTAATCCTGAGATTGTCCTAAATTTGACAGGAACCTTGTATAATGGACAAGATAAGGAATTTCAAAACCTGGCTCATGAATAGTGTTGAAAGTTTAGAAGATTTTCTTCAAAGGGAGTGAAGACCATAGCAAAAATATCTACCATAAAGATGGCATATAATAAGCAAGGACATCTCAGCAGACTGCTCAGTGCTGTTCTATATATACCCTGATATAACCCTGGGAGCTGACAGTAACTACTGGTATGCAACTGGGTCCCTAGAAGATCCTGGGCATCAGAGCTACCGCACCAACATAGACCTTTCACATTGAATTTGTTAGTAAAAAGAAACATTTTTTTTTGGTTGTTGTTCTTTTTTAAAAAAATATTTTTTTAGACATTGATGGACCTTTATTTTGCTCATTTATTTATATGCAGTGCTAAGAATCAAACCCAGCGCCTCACACATGCCAGGCAAGTGCTCTACCACTAAGCCACAACCCGTTTCTTGGTTGTTCTTCTTTAAGCCACTTTCCTGATTTTTTTACAACTGAATTTTACACTGATTAACATACCTTCATTTTCTTGAAGAATTTAATTCCACTTTAAATCCATTATTCTTCTTCCCATTACTAATCCATTCATAATTCTTCATGATTGTAATAATCACAAGAGGAGCCTTTCTAGTTCTCTAGCATTTCATCAAAATTGTACTTACTCAAGTATCCAAACTACTTTTGCCTTTGGTTTCCACACTTCTAAATCAAATGGTCTACTTTTCTCACTTCACAGTATCCACTGGAGGATTGAACACAGAAGATCAGTATCCCTGAAACATTCTCTGAACTTAGATTCTGGAACACTATCATCCCCTAGTTTTCTTTTCATATTTTAGGACTCTCCTTAGTTTCCCTTTGTTGTTGTTTTTTTAAATTTTATTATATTTATTTTACTCTTTTACATGGTGCTGAGGATGGAACCCACTGCCTCACACATGCTAGGCAAGCGCTCTACTACTGAGCTATAACCCTAGCTCCCTTTGTTGGTTTTTTAACTATTTCCCTTTTCTAAATGCACTCATTCCCTTGCTGATCTCATCCAGTTTTCAAAGCAAATGTGTGATAATAGCCTTCATCTAGAATAAAGAACTCTAAAGTAAGAATACAAATATCAATTTTTAAAAATGTACAAAAGATTTTAAAAGTCACTTTACTAAAACAGATAAATGAATGGCAAACAAGAATACATGCACATACAAATTAACAACATCATCATCGTTAGGGAAATGCAAGTTAAAATCACAATGAGTACCTCAGTCTGGTTTGTGCTGCTATAACAAAATACCTGAGATTGAGTAATTTGTAAAGAACAGAAATTTATTTGTCCCTGTTATGGAAGCTGAGAAGTGGCACTGGCACACTAAAGCCCAGTCTCTCTGCTTCGTAAATGGTACCTTGAGCACTGAGTTCTGCAGAGGAGAGGAACACCATGCCCTCACATGGAAAAAGAGAAGAAGAGAGAGAGCACTTTTTTTATAGTACCACTAATTCATTCATGAGGGTAGGGCCCTCAAGACTGACATACCTCCCATTTGGCCCTACCTCCCAGTATTGTCATACTGGGGAGTAAGTTTCCAACACATGAATTTTGGAGGTGACACATCCAAACCATAGGCATGAATTATTCCTACAGACATATTAGGATGATTAAAATGAAAAAGACTGGTGATATCAAGTGTCAGCAATGAAGCAGAACAAACTGGAACTCTCATACATCACTGATGGAAATGCAAAGTTGTACAGCCACTTTGAAAATGAGTAACGGATTGATCCCTTGCTGGTCTATGGAATCCATGCTGAATCCATATTAATTAAATGATACTTTCTTTTCAAAGCATTACAATGTTGTATGAGCCGCAACAAAAACCTCATACATCTAGGGCATCTGTAGTAAAGAAACACAAGGAAGATAAAGCTGAAAGTTCAATCATTTATCAAGACAGAACATGACTTAAAGGGACTGATTACATTATTTGATTATACCAAGTTAAATCATAATGAATATTTAATTAATTCTGCACAGACTCACATTTCAGCTAGTGATGAAGAATGTTGGGGGAAAGTGTGGTAAGCCATTCTTAGAAGATGGCGCCGGCTTCCACTGTGGCCTGTGATAAACAACTCCTTATATGGAGAATTGGCACGCAATCCCTTCCCACCCTATGAGAGAGATCCACGTGGCAGCTTGGGATTGGTATGCGGGAGGCTTTATTAGGCTGTGCTTGGGCGCTCGGCGGGGGGTCACTAGAAGATGATACTTGAATCAAGGCCTGAATAAACTGCTGAAAGAAGAATCCTGTGTCGTGTTTTCCCTTGCCGGCGAGGGGTCGCGACAGGAAAGGCCAGACAGAGAGAGAGTAAGAGATCATTTTCTTTGGACATCTGAATTGTGGTATAATTTGAATATGTGATTTTCTAACAGGGGCCCACTTCATGCTTTCAATATAACCCTTTCTGCTTCTTTTAAAATTAAGGGCTGGGGTTGTGGCTCAGTGGTAGAGTGCTCTCCTAGCACATGCAAGGCCCTGGGTTTGATCCTCAGCACCACATACAAACAACAACAACAACAAAACAAAACATTGTTCTGAGACAAGGTTCATGGCAAAAAAAATAATAAATAAAATTAACATTTTTTTCTTTCCTCATTCTTTTCCCCCCCACTGTAATCACAGGGGAAGCAAGATTAACTTTCTTCCAGTCCTAGGTTGAGTAATGTGTCCTCCAGAGTTATCTGTCCTTTGGCTCACAGACCACAGGAATGAAAGAATCCAGACTTGTGGGTAGCACCTGTGATCTAAGAAACAGCTATCTCTCAAGGCTATAAATGAAATATAACTCCCGTCAGGGAACAACTGGAATGTAGCCTTTATGTCCCTTCTTTAAAAGTCCACTGTTCCTGCTGGCTGATAGAATCATAGCCTCTGGGGCAGGAGTCCCTTCTGTTTCTCCTTTGCTAGCAAAGCAATAATCCTCCTCTTCCTCCTACTCTTCCCCCTCCTCCCTCTCCTCCTCCTCCTCTTCCTCCTCCTCCTCCTCCTCCTCCTCCTCATTTTTCCTCTTACTACTGGGAAAAAATACTGAGCTTTTCATATCAATTCAGTTATAATAGGCACCATACAGTACTACAGAAAACTGCAAGGTGGGTTTTAAATTATATTGAGTTTCAAATGTCAAACGCAGGGACTTGCCAAGAGGAAGGAGGAAAAAGAAACTGGTTCAGTTCAAGCCAGAGGCTGAGGCAGGAGAAGAACCAAGAATATTCACTCAGGACAAGGTTGTGTAGGGCAGGGTAGAATGAAGAAATAGATGCTACTACCGTGGGATCTCTCCCAAATCAGTGCCCTGAGGTGTTATGAGTGAAGGAAGGAGGAATTCGGCAACATTACCTTAATTGAATCATTTCACCTTCTATCCTAATTGTATTAGTAAGGTAACTTTCAGGAAAGTAAAGGAAGTCCTGTTAGTAATTCATTGCTAGGAATATTTTCAAGGAGGAGATCTTTATTTTGTGTAAATTGCTAAGTAAGATAGGATAACTTTCAGATTTAAGAACAGACTTAATAGATAAATGACTGGAAAATAAACAGATAAACTGTCATTAAAACAAGGATATATTAGAGCAGAACCAGAGTCAGTTTGGGGAGAATTTCAGCATCCTGCAGAATGAGAATACAAAATTTCTGTGTAAAGGGGAAGGAAGAAGGGCTCACACTTGGAAAAATCCTGGAGTTAAGCCAAAGTGGGACCCCTGTGTCTGGGCCTCTACCCTTTGGCTGAGAATGTGGGTAAACTAGAAAGGAGGCTCTGTTATGCTGCGCGCCTCCCCTGACTCAGGCAATGGCAAGGCCCTACTGAGGTGGATGGCGCAAGGCGTCCATCCTCTGGAGGAGTGCAGTATGTTTCTGGGAATGGGCTGGTTTGTTTTTGTATTCCTTTAATAAGTATAGTTGTGATTTCTCATATGACCATTAAGTATGAAGGAAAAAACATGACTTTCCCAATTAATGCAACTACTTCTAAGAGTAGATCTGTTTGCTCTATGCAATGATTCAGCTGTAGAGCATAAATTGTTAATGTCTAATGAAAAACTCCCTGTATTCCTGTCAAGGAAGTTTTTGAGAAATTAAATTAAAATCTAGAGAAGAAGAATTAATGTTAAGAAGACAGATTAGTGCTTAGTACTGGGCAACTTGTTCTTGTTCCTGTGCACAATGACTTGTGCTTTTACTCTTCAACAAGTTAACCACTTGCTGTAACCATGGCACCGGTTCCAGTCAGTAAGTCAAGAAAGAATAGTCAAGGTATAGGCCAATAGTTGGGACATTTCTAACTATTATTAAAAGTTAACTAAACAGAAACAGCTCAAAGCAAAACGCGAACTGAAAGGAAAAATGCTTGCTTATGCATAAGCCAAGATACATTCTTCTATTCTAATTGTAGCTACGTAATATTCTGTTTCTTTGAATAATGATTCCTGTTTTGTACCACAAAGTACTGTGAGCCTGTCAAAATGAAAAGTATATATGATCAACTTCACAAGTAAAGATTGAGATTAACACCTTCACTTTGGTGTCTGTGTTGTTTCTCCACCCCCTTTCGCCGACTCCTCACCATCTGTTCGTCTCCTGAGACCCCCTGTTGGAGCTGGACTCCGACACTGTTAGGATCTAATGCTGCAGTAATTACTGTGTATCCTGTTCAATTGGTTGGGACCCTATAGAAGGGAATTTGATATGTGGATTCTCTAATAATTAGAGTGAGTAACATCTAAAATGGGTTGGTTTGTATTTCTCTTACCTGATTCATATTTTTCAGTACGATGTCTTTTCCTTTCATAACCATTTGTGCATCATGTGACTTATGCAATCTTTTTACATACAGCATAAAGTTTTCAGGAAAAATCAATAACTAGCTTGTGTATACACATTGAAACTATTCTGCTTCATTGGTATAGAGAGCAGCTTTCATTCAGGCATTCATCTAAGGGTACTTATGTGTGAGTCCCTGTTCAGGGTACTGGGAATACAGAGCTCAAAGACCTCCTCCTTGATCTCAATTCTTCTCTGCATTGATGTTCCTCTTTGGTCTTTCCTTTATGCCAAGGTAGACTCTTGTCCATTCCATCTCTTCATAGCATGGCTAAGATCAGATAGTAACATATAGTCAGACTTCATTCAAGACTCTGGGATTATAAAATGTAATTACAATGCAGTAAAGGAAAACTCGAAACCAACCACTAAATGTGACTTATCCTGAATGTCATAGGCTGTCCTCCTCACATACTTGCACACTCTTAGCCCACAACTTCTTACTATGTTTTAGGAGCAGCCTGCTCTCTTTAATAGGAATGCCTATGATAAATACCACCAGTCCCTCAAGTCCTCCAAGGCCCAGTGAGAGAAGGAGCCTGCCTCCAGATAGCCCAAGCAAAGGCTAGCTTACCCAGAAATATAATCTTCAGAGACATGACTCTACACACAAGTGAGACCAGAGATAAAGCTCATGTTGAGTCCCATATCCCCACTGTTGAAGATTGAACACCAGAGAAATGCCAAGGCAAGGACAAAAGTTTTATTTAAATGATAGAACAGAGATAGAGAGAGACTCCGCTACAGAAGAGGGGGTCTAAGTTGGTGCCCAAGGGAATGGGGGGGGGTGTCCTGCTCCTTCTATAGATTTCAGATTTCCTTTGCTCTCATACCCCCTCTTCCCATTCTGCCTATGTGACCCCAAAGATAGAGTGATCCAAGAGGGGGAGGATGAAGATACCCAGGGGTACAAGCAGGAATGGAGCCACCCAGCAACTACTTATTAACAACTCCTTGCTGGGGGGAACAATTCCCTGGAGGCAGGTAACCTCGGCAACAGGTTGCAGGAGGGGAAAGTGCTCTGGAAGTATTAGCATTTTATTTCCTCTTGAATCAGCCCCCATCTTCCTGATCCAATCCTTAATTACCTACACTGACTGTCCTTGTGCCCCAGTCTCACAAGGATGACAAATTTTGATATTAAGTGCAACAGTTTAGTTATGCACTGTCTGGACCCTCTTCACTGCTAAACTACATCCTGGCTTATCCTTTCTGCAAGCAAACATTACATTGTTCTATTTTGCTTTTTTTAAAATGTCAGATGTATTGAAGTTTAATATATACATAGTAAAATTCACCCTTTTAAATACATAATCCTCAGTTACAAACACATAGTCAAGTCACTACCATCTTATAGAATCCCTCAATGACCACAGAAAATGCCTATGCCCTTTCATAGTCAACCCTTTTCTGTATCTTTAGTCCCAGGCAAACACTGACCTGTTTTCTGTGACTAGAGTTGGACCTATCCATATTATCTTTGTTTTTGCCTTGGCAACCAGTTGCAGGAGAAGGGGTAAGGGCTTTGGAGACATTGCATTTTATTTCCTTTCCTCTTGAATCAACCCCCATCTTTCTTTCTTTTCTTTTTTTTTTTAGTTGTAGATGGACACAATACCTTTATTTTATTTTTATGTGATGCGGGGGATCAAACCCAGTGCCTCACGCATTGCAGGCAAGCGCTCTATCACTGAGACACAACTCAGGCCCCAGCCCCTATCTTTTTGATCAGGCCCAATTACTTATTACCTACACTGACTAACCTTTTGCCCCTCCTCCCAGAATCATTCAGCATGTAGCCTTTTACATCTGATTTCTTTCACTTAGCCTAATGTAACTGCAATTCATCCATGTCATAGTGGTTATCTGAACTTTGTTCCTCTATATTGTGGAGTAATTTTCCATTTATGAATGATAACTTGGATATTATCAAAATTAAAAATTTTGATAATCAGTTAAATCAGATAAATCAGTTTTCCCTGATTCACCAGTGGAAGAAATATTTGAGTTGTTTCCACTTTTTAATAATTTCAAATAAAGCCACTATAATAGCTATATACAGATCTTTGTATAAGCTTTCATTTATCTCAGGTAATTATCTAGGAGTGAGCTGTTAAGTAGTATGATAATCATATACTTAACATGTTTTGAGACAATGAATTGTTTTCCAAAGTGATTGTACCATTTTGCATTCCCACCACCAGCTCATGAGAGTTCTAACTGCTCTGTATCTTTAACAGGGTTTTGGGTATGAGGGGGAGCACTTGAGTGTGTGGTAATCTTATTCATTCTAATACAGGCATTGAAGAATCTCACTGTAATTTAAATTTCCATTTTTCTAACAATTCATGACATTTAGCATATTTTCACGTACTTATTTTCCATTCGACCTCTTTTTAGTGAAATATCTATTCAATTATTTTAACCATTTATTTTCAGTTGCTTTATTACTGAGTTTTGGAGAATTTTTATATATTCTAGATCCATTCCCTTATCAGATAATGTACTTTGCAACTATTTTCTCCCAGTCTTTTTATTCTCTTAGCATCTTGGTTAGCTTGGACTCTATAAAAAAATACCACAAACTTTGTGGCATAAACAAGATATCTCTTTCTCATAGTTCTAGAGTTTGTTTAGTCAATGATCAAGGTGCTGGTAAATTCAGTCCAAAGTGAGGACTTTCTCCTGGCTCCTGTATAGTTAACTTCTTGTTGTACCTGGAGGATTGGGGCCAGAGTAGAAGGATTCTGATCTCTTCTTATAAGGGCCCAAATCCTACAAGAGCTCCCAGTCTTATGACCTCATCTAAGTTAATTAGATGTCCCAATTAGATTAGTCCTCATTTTCAAATTATCTTATGTTAGGGGGGAGGGTTTCAATATATGAATCTTAAAGTACCACACAACTCAACCCATAGCAATTTCTCTTGAAGAGAATGAATTTTTTAAATTTTTAAAAAATGTTTTAGTTGCCAATGGATTTTTTTACTTTATTTATATGTGTTGCTGAGGATTAAACCCAGGACCTCACACATGCCAAGCAAGTGTTCTACCACTGAGCCAGAACCCAGTCCCATGAATTTTTAATTTTGATAATATCCAAGTTATCAATTTTTCTTTTAAGGATCATGCTTTTGATGTCATGCTTTTTGATATCATCTAGGCCTAACTCTAACCCAAATCGCAAAGATTTTCCTCTAGAAATTTTATACTTTTATGTTTTTCTATCTACAATTCATTTTGTGTTAATTTTTATTTATTGTCCCAAGTACCATTTGAGGATCTTTTCATTTCTTGTGTATATGTGTGTATCCTCTGAATTTTTCATGTGAAAAAATTATTTTGACTATTTTCAACCTTTGTATATCCAAATAAATTTTCGAATCAGGCCAGTTATCAATTTCTACCATTGTGGGGAATAGGGATAGAAACAAAAAACCGTCTGGTGTTTGGTTGGGATTACACTGAATGTATATAAATCAATTGGGAAATAACTGTCATCTTAACAATATTAAATCTTCTGATCCATGATCATAATATTTTTTTAATTTAAATTTTAAGACTTAATAAGATGAACACATCTTTTGCCAAATTTATCCTTATTTATGTTTTCTATGCTTTTATAGATGGTTTTAAAATCCAATTTTCTGATCATTCTTTGCTATATAATTGACTTTGTATATTAACTTTGAAATTTATGATCTTGCTAAACTCATTTAGTTGTTCTAGTAACTTTTTTAATGGACTTTTCAGGATACAGAATAAGCATATACTTAGAAGTACCTATGCAAATAATGAAATAATAGTTCAAAGAATAAAACTGTCTCTCAAAGTAGAACTACTGATTAGAACTGTTAATGCAATTTTTGTACCCTCTGACTTTTTAAATAATGTACATGTCCATTGAGTGGAAATATAAATTTATATATTTTAAAGTAAATACTCACCATCCCAAGATTTAGTCATTTGTTTTTAATTTTAGTTATAGCTCTTTCATTCAGCAGGATTTTTCTTCATTTATATTTTATTTTTATTTGGTGCATGATGTACAAACATTTGAAATAGTGTCTTTTCCCCTCTCATATTGGTAACTAACTTGTCTTAGCACAATTTATTTTTTAAATAAATTACTTTACTCCCCCAAAACACTTATGCGTGCTCTCAAGTCATAATTTATATGGGGATGTTTCTACACAATTTGTCCTTGCCCTGGTATACTTCACTGATTTGAAACATAGTGAGAAATAAGTTCTCTGGTGTGGAGAAGGTCATTTATGGAAAAAACAATGTACAATGGCACAGCCACTTATAAAAGCAGGCTTATAAACACTGGTTTAGAGGGATCTTATAAACATTGGGTTGGAGTAAATAAATGAATGCTGAAAGTGTCTCCTAGATGAGGGTCTTGATGAAGTACCCCAAAAGGGAAGTGGACCTCAACTCAAGTGGTGAGGATCCTTTACATCCTTGCGAAAAGGAATTTAAAGATGGATGAATTTATTGAGAGAAAGAAAGAAGTGCACTGAGAATCAGGGTTTGGAGAACACATTAACTACTTCTTAACTGTTACAGGGCAGAGGCCCCTTTCACCCCAATTCTTTCAATCATGCCAGAAAAATTTCAGATATGTAGCTCAAAATAACACGCATGAATTTATCAGAAGGAATTACAAAGAAAAAAATGGGGGACCTTCTCAAGGGAGAGACTGGGTTTTCTCAGAGGACAGGAAGAGCATGATCCTCCTACCCCTCCAGTTTTATTGGGCAGGAATCCCAGGGAAGTTTCCAGAATCCTGCCCAGGTCCACCTCTTGACTTTTGACTGATGGCAGGATGACATTAAACTTTCAAGACCCCACAGGGCATGACAACTCTAAGTCACTTTAGCCCATGCTGATTAGTTCTAATTGGAACCTGTTCTTAAAAGATTTCATGGTCAGGAGGAATTATCCTTATCTCCCTAGGTTCTGGGATCTGGTCTGTATAAGAGTCACGAAAGTCCACCCATCCTCACTTCAGGGTAACTTGTGTTCTTTTTATGGGCATTTCAGACCTCCATTTCCCCTACAGATAATAGGCAGTTTGCTGAAAAATGTAACATATCTTGCTGACTTAAGCCAGGCAGGCTTCAGGCTTTTTAAAAGTGAAAGCACGTAGGAAGTGGGGGGTCAGCACAGTGGGCCCAGTTTATAAATTATTTCCTTCACCTCATGTTCCCACTACTAAATGTCTGTCCCCTATCATTAACGAGGCTTATTTACACAGGTAAGATCAGTAATACAGGGATATGCTCTAAGAGGTCGTTTTTACTTCTCCTGTGTTGGTAACTGGGCAGGTTCCCCATTACCAGGATTAGGGGAGTCATTCACAGATAAGTTGATCATATGAGGATGGGGGGAGGCACTTACTGACAGGCGGTCCATTATTGGGATCGGGTATTATTTCCTTTCTTGTTTTTGATGCATTCTGCTTTTTGAACACAGCATTACAATAATGTGCCTGTAGATAAGGTCCAAAAATTGATTTAATATTGCTGTTTGTAATCAAGATATGTTAAAGTGACTTAAATCTGGCCACTCCTGCGTTGTCCCCCATGTCTCCTTCTTTATGTCTTCAAGCCTACCTCAAAAAAAGAGACGGTAAGTGGCCTTAGTTTAAACTGGTGGTCCGCCGTCCTCGAAGAGGAAACACAGCTTCACAAGCTGACAACCCAGGCGAGGTAGTGACAACCTCGACACAGGCCAGAGACAGGGCGGAGAGGTTCTTGTTTTGACTCTGCCGCCAGCACTAGCTCACACAGAGATTGGAGCCCGCAGGAGCGCAGGGAGCACGTCACTTCCTGCCAGGCCAGGCCCGCCCACCTGCGCTATGACAGCCAGCGCTGAGCCGCCGGGGCGGCGGCGGCCCGGGGTAGGGGTCGGAGTGGTGGTGACGAGCTGCGAGCATCCTCGTTGCGTCCTCCTGGGGAAGAGGAAAGGGTCGTTTGGAGACGGCAGCTTTCAGCTTCCAGGGGGTCATTTGGAATTCGGGTGAGCAGCCCCCGTTTCGACCCTGGAAAACGGAACGTGCACTACACGACACGTTCGCGCCGTGCGTGCGCCGTGCGCGTTCACGTGCGCTTGTTCGCGCTGACGTCGCGTCGTTTCTCTCTGGTTTCCGGGTTCCTCTTTGCGCCCTGCAGGCGCCGGCCGCGAGGGGTCGCTGGGTTGAGGAAGGAAGGCTGACCTTGCTTGGTGGCTGCTGAGAATTGTTCTGTGAAAAGGGCTTCTTAGTGGGCATCACCGAGAGGACAGTGGGCGTTTCTAAACTTCGAGCATTCGGGTGTTGTCACCACATTTGCACCGCTTCCGTGCTATTTAGACGTGCACAGGTATATTTAATATCCACTGGTTGCGTTACACTCTGAGCAAAAGAGCTAGTGAGACTCTGCCCCTCAGTTTCTTCGTCTTTAAAATGGGGACCGTGGGCGAAATGTTTTTTAACGTTCCTGTCTGCCTTGACATTCTGTGATTGTAAAATATATCAGACGGATATGTCAAGATCATGGTATTGTCATGAGCAACTAATAAAAGGGAAGCGAGCATAATAAAAAAATAAACAATAAAAAAAAAGTATATCAGACGGACAGAGGGAGTTGGGCAATTAAGTGTTCTATACGAAAGTGAAGAAAACATAGGTTGCAAAAAATGAATTCTGAAGTGAGAAGGTTAAAATCAAGAATAGTTAAACAGCGTCTTCTAAAGTCTCCAGATCCAGCGTGTTTTATCTTTAGTTTATTTTTGAAAATCCAGCATACATAAAGTGGAGAAAAGCGTGAATCATTAGGAACCTCCGCAGAGCTTGTTCTTGTTCCATCTAACTGCTCCTCCATTGCTCACCCAAAATGTGGACCTCACACATCTCCTTTTGTAGACAATGTTACGCGAAATCTCAGATGTTCCATTATATTATCCCTAAATAATTCAGTGTGATCTGCAAAATAAATTTATTTTTGGTACTAAGGCTTGAACCTGGGGTGCTTTACCACTAAGCTACATCCCCAGCCCTTTTAATTTATATACATATTTTTTATTTTGAGACAGGGTCTCTCTAAGTTGCTTAGGACTGCACTAAATTGTTGAGGGCTGGCCTGGGACTTGGAATCCTGCCTCATCCCCCAGAGTTGCTGGGATTACAGGTGTGGCCCACTGCATCTGGCTCAAAATAATTCTTTAGTATCTTCTGATAGTCTGTGTATGGTCCTCCTCGGTTTTCTTTAAAATGTCTTTTCACTGTTTTTGTACCAATCAGGATCAAATGAATCATATTGCATTATTTCTCACTCTAAAAGTAATCCTCCATCCCCTTTTGCTCATGCCATTTATTTGTTGAAGAATATGAGTTTATGTAGTTATGTCCATGTTTTTCTAGTCCACTCATATTTCTTACAAAATGATAGTTAGAAGTATAAGTCTGGGGCTGAGGTGGTGGCTCAGTGATAGAGCATACCTAGCATGTGTGAGGCACTGGGTTCTATTCTCAGCACTGCTATAAACAAATAAAATAAAGGTCCATCAACAACTAAAAAAAAAAAAAGAAGTAGTAGTAGTATAGGTCTGATGCTTAATCAGAATTTGTCCTTCATAAAATATGAAATTCATGTTCTTTTAGCATATACAGTTTTTAAAATGGTCTTCAGAATTTAAAAAAAGCATTGATGTTTATCATTTTCAGATAATTAAGATAAACCATTAATACAGTTTCTTAGATTATGAACCAGTTGCTCACATAGCTACACATTGTACTTTGTTGATGTACCAAGAATTATTATCCAAATTTAGTGGGATTATCCAAATTTAGATCACAAACTAAACACAGTCTAGAATTATAATTACTGGAGTAATGGCTAGAGATAACTATCTTAACACAAGAAAGTGTAGGAGTCTCAGTTACCAGGTGATCGTAACATTGTACTTGAATGAAGCGCTGGATGGCATGCTAAGCTCCTCTCAGGTACCCTTTCACTTGATCTTTACATAACTGTATACTGAATGAGCTAACTTCATGGGGGAGCAAGTAGAAAATTGGTTTCTTTTCTCCTTCCACAGTCTTCAAACTTGAGTTATCTTTTCCTATCTCTGTTTCAGTGACTTTTCCTGTAAATTCTATTATTTATTTCATTAAAAATCATGTTTTGGTTATTATGATTTATTTCCAAGCATTTGAAAGTCCAAGCCAGTTTAAACCTTCAGTCTCACTTCTCATGTCTAATCCCTTCCTGTAATGTGAAAATAAAAGCCATTGTTTTGCTCTTTCTCCATCTCTTCCTCTCCTCACTCTGCTGTTTCTGACTTTCCTTCTCCCGTGTGTTGAGGAGGAAGAAGGGGTGAACTTTTTATGTGACTAGGGCAGCTTTAATCCCTCCACTGGTGCCCTCTCTGTTGGTATCCACTATCCAAGTTCGTGCTTTCTTTCTTGGTTTGTGTTTGACAGTTGTTTGGAAATCCCACAAGGATTTTTGTCCTTGACAGGGACAACTTTTTTTTTTTTTTTTTTTAACACTGGTCCCCCTTCTCTAGCTCTTGCTTCTAGTACATCACCCTGCATTTTTTTCCTGCTAGGGTCTTCTGTTAGATTACCCAGCAGTCTTTTGTGACATACGCTTAGCCCAAAGGAAATATGTAATAGAAATGATGATTTTTCACTGCTGCCCCCTTTCCTTGCTAAGCTTTCACGGAATGACCACTCTAGCCAGTCTCACCTTCGAAATTCCTGAGGCAGGAATAAGTGTCAACCTCTGTATTCACATGCATATGGAAAATCTAAGGAACACATTTCAGTTTTATACAAGAATTCTTACCCTACTGTCACCCGTGCCCTGATGCACTGGGTTAGGGCTGGGTTTCTGCAGCTCATGATGTCTTTGGCAGGGACACATCAGTATCTCCTTCTTGGGAGTCATACCCAATCTCAACTGATTCTCCTGGAGAGTCTCTCATTTAGATGGTTGGAAAGAGTCTACCCCTCATTGGGAAGAGGAGAAATGTTCATATTAGGCTGAAAATTCTCAACTTTACTCCCTCCTAAATATCTCCTGCCTTTCTTACGTAGCCCGTGTGGGATTAGGGTCAGAAGACTAGTCTTACCTTCCTTAGCAAACCTGTGAGCCTGGATGACATGCTCTTCTGCTATACTCATGAGAATTTAGAGGTGCTAGTTGCCTATTGTCCTCCATTTTGAGGCTTAAACTGAAATTCTGTGAGTGTAGGAAAAGCCATAATATACTTCCATATACATTTATAACAACCCCATGAGAAGGTAATAGTCCTCTTTTTGCTTATCCAAAGTAGCAAGTAATGGACTTTCATATCCAACCAAGGTCTAGTTGACTACAGAGTCTTAACTAATACACTAAACTTCCCCCTGGTTGCACAGGCTTACTTTCAGACCTATGAATTAGTGCTGAATTGGCTAAATGTTAAATTTTTTAAAACATGAAGTCCTTCTGGTATTTAGGTAACTAAATATAAAATGTACAGAATGTTGAAGGCTGAGTTGTTGATATGTCATTTTAAAGTATAAACTAATTGCAGTTGTATTTGCTTTGTGCTAGGAATTTCTAACCAAGTATTTCGTGGTAAAGAACTTTACATAAATAGAATTGATTACAGTAGTACATTTCTTTTTTCCAGTGAGACCTGGGAAGAATGTGCTCAAAGGGAAACCTGGGAAGAAGCAGCTCTTCGCCTGAAAAATGTCCACTTTGCCTCAGTGGTGAATTCTTTCATTGAGAAAGAGAATTACCATTATGTCACTATATTAATGAAAGGAGAAGTAGATTTGACTCATGGTTCAGAACCAAAGAATGTAGAACCTGAAAAAAATGAAAGTAAGAGAATTATATAAAATAATGCATTTTTCTTTGTGGAGGACGTATCATTGGAAGGAGTATTACATTCTGTTGCCATATGAAGAGGATTATATTTTCTTCATATTTGTGTTCCCCCAAAATTCATATGCTGAAATTTGTTACCCAGGTGATGCTAACAGGAGGTAGGGCCTCCTGAATGGGATTAATACCCTTATAAAAAAGACTCCAGATAGACTCCTCACCCCTTCCTCCATAGGAGGATTCAGAGAGAAGATGGTTGTCTATGAACCAGGAAATGGGCCCTTGCCAGATACCAGATCTGCCAGTGTCTTGATCTTGGACTTCCAGCCTCCAGAACTGTGAGAAAATAAATTTCTGTTGTCTGTAAGATGCGTAATCTAAAGTATTCTAAAGTAAATCTAAAGTATTCTAAAGTATTACAGCAGTCCAAACAGACTGGCTAATATAGATATGTAGAAATGCTAAAATCCTGAGGAATATAAGAAACCAGCTGGTTTGGCTCTGTGTCCTGGTTTTTTCACTCTGCACTATGACCTTGGGCAAGTTATTTAATGTCTGGGCCTCTTTTCTCATTTGCAGCAATAGTAACCCCTTTACATGGGGTATTATAAGGATTAAATGAGTTAATATACATATAAACCTAGTAAACATAATAAGCGCTCAGTAAGTGTTCATTTTTTGTGTGTGTGTTTATTTTTTTTTTCCTCAGGTTGTGATTTTTAAGAAAATTTTTTTGTGTGTATGATTTCCTCAGTTTTCTCATCTACACAGGAGAAATAATACCTTCCTTTTGCAGAGAATGATTACTCTGACAAAGCAGTTGTCTATTACCTTCTATATTGAATTGAACACTCTGAAAGCTTTAATGACAAAAACATTGTTCTAAGGGCTTCATGTGTATCATCTCTCCACAAGAAACTAAGAAAGCCAAGCACAGTGGCTGATGCCTATAATCCCTCATACTAGGGAGACTAAGACAGGAAGAT